ATGAAAGTCATCGTTCGGTTTCCAGTCAGATCAATTCACGAAAGCCTTTCAACCAACTTTTCCTTCAAAGCACATGATCATGTCAAAGTAAATCACTAAGAAAATCATCGAAACCAAGATTATCTTCATATGAATTAGCAGTTATTCTGTTTTCAGGTTACTCTTCTGACATGGCTACTTTATCTACTTATAACTTATAGGTTCTCTGGGTCTAGATTAAAAGTAGGCTATGGGTTGTTTGCCACAAAATCTGTCATACCTTTCTACATTTGAGGTGCATCTACTCCAACTCATCCTTTTTCTACTCTTTAGCCATTAAAGTCTTGTTTGAAGTAAGGCACATCAATCCTGCAAATAATCATTTGTTCATAGAAAATTTCCTGAATTCTATGAGATAATATGTAGCAATAGCTCCATATTCACAACTTTGTATGGAGAAATTGTGACCTTACCGGTGGTCCAAACTTTCCTCGGGCTCCATCCTTGCCTTGAAGCCCAGGCTGGCCCTTCAGTCCCTTCATGCCTCGAGGGCCCATGTCACCCTGGCTGCCTTTTATGCCGATGCTGCCCGGGGACCCTGGCATGCCCTTAGGCCCCTCCAATCCGACACTGCCTTGAATGCCCGGCTTGCCCGATGGACCCTCGAGCCCTCGATGACCCTCAGCTCCACGTTTTCCCGGCGGCCCGGACTGACCCGCTTCGCCCACGGGGCCTTGAATTCCCTGGATTCCCATAGGTCCAAGAGCTCCCTATAATTAAAAAAATGATAGGTCGAGTTAGGTTTGTAACTGGTAGTTAATAAAAAAAATTGGCAGGAATAGTATTTTCAAAAAGATTTTATAATTGGCTACCTTCGTGAAAGTAACGTTTTGAAGGGTGACAACAGTATCAATGCGAGTGGAATTGATGTAAATCTAGAGTTTAACTCTGGAAGTCTGTCAATTGAAGAAGAGATCTTTCGTGCTTGGACATATTTGAAGACTTCACAGATTAGTCAAGCAAAAATTTCTCAAGTGTATTCACCCTACTTCGCTTAAGGTGATAAGGAGACTGGTAGATGAATTTTTGCACTACCGGTCCCCATATCATCCTAAACCAAATAGGATGATCTATTGGTAATCTCGAAAGCCTACTTCTAAACGAACTGCGAATTTTTCAGTTTTATACATGCCTGACAGTCTTTTCATTTAAATTACGAAAATAATTCACAGAACAAGCCAAACGGTATAGAGTTGTGCTGAACTCATGTAGCTTTCTGTGCTATTTAGGTATTTTGTTGCCTTGCGTTTTTTGTTTTTATTCAGATAAGAAGTTTTTATCAGTAAAAATGCCTTTTATTTCTATCTCTTATACACAAATAGCTCAAAACCAACTTATTTTTGTATATAAGTAACACATCTGTTGTGTGAGCACTTTGGCACCCATGGCTATGTAGTGGAATGAAGTCACATCATGTCATCATACCCGTGGCCTCGTTTTAAAGATGGGCGTGGGTCCTGATGAGACCTAGGTGAAGTCGAAACGGTACCCCAGCCTTAAATGTAAGCAACGTGAAATTCGATGGTATTGTGGGGCCAACCAATATTGTAGTGGGAAAAAATCTGCTATCAGTCCTTGAATCACCTTAAGCGACCTTCAGTGACGAAGTTCATATACAAAGTCTAAATAAACCTTATAAATGCAAATATATATTTTTTTTCCAGAAGTGATCTACCTGGCTTTCTCAACTTAGTAGTGTTGTCAGGTCGACCCATAGTAATTAC